TTTTTCCCTCAGCCATTGTAGAAAGCTAGAAATCATATAATATTAACAATCTCATATATTCAGTCTGTTTGTATTGGAGGAAAATCTGCTGTTTTAAAAGTGCAAGGTGGTTGCAGACCCCACTCATAAATACCCGGAGGCTTTGTTCTTGGCATAGCTGTACAGTGTCTGGGCTTTGCCTCATACTTCACAGAATTATCCTCCAAACTCCTGGATACAAGCCAAAGTAGAGAGAGCCCAGCAAAAAAGAAATGGTTCTTTTGAGGCAGGTTTTCATCAAGAAAGGATTCTCAAATAATACCAAGTTCCTGTTAAGTTTCTATGAATTTTTGTCTATTCCTAGAAAAAGAGTAAAGCCTTTTAATGGTATTTAACACTTCCAAATTTCCACTTGGCTAACACCAAGCCTTCCTCAGTCTGGCTAAACTGGATGTGCTTTATTTTATGGTCTGAGAGCTTTTATCCTGTTGTAGAGGGTTTGCTTGCCATTTGAATAAGTTAACTTTCCTTTGTTTTGTATCAGTCTGTGAGCTCAGGGCTCTTACTCTCAAATTTAATTTTTTTTGTGCAATAGAAAGTCTGAGTAAATGTAAATAAGGTGAACTTCAGCAACTTAGGGCTGTGATCAGTCAAGCAAAATCATAGGGTCTGGGGCTTGGCTATAGCCTGCCACTAAAGGAGAAGGCCCAATTTATTATTATTATTATTATTAATTACTGTTATAATTCTTGAGCTAACAAAAGGATAAGATATAATACTGGGTAGAAGTATGGAGGACAGGAGGGATTCTCTAGGCCATTGTTATATCTTGAGGATACCAACAGATATCAATTATTGTTTTGTTGTTGTTACATTCTAGGACAGATGTCCAGAATGTCAAAGGAGAACGGATATGTGGAATATTCATTATATTATGCAAATAGAGTTAGAATCGTGTGACACTTGGAAATTTTTGGGGTCTCCGACTACAAGGGAGGATTTTTCTTTTTCTATTTAATCACTGGTGGTCACAGTGTACATGTAAGGAGTCAAAGAAATTCCTTGTATTTGAAAAAAGATTACATTACTGGTCATTATTTTTGTCATTAAAATCATTTATAATATTTTCTTAAATCTTTATGAGTATTCTTTATTTTTTGATAAATTCTTAGAGACAAAATGACTAGGTGAGTGCATATAAAATTATTTTTAATGAAAATTTCAAACATTTTATAAAATATGTACTCAAAATAGAGTATAAAAATTTTCAAAACTTCTAATGTGCATTAAAATTGCCTTCTGGAGCAGTTAATGCTTAATTTTTTTCTTTTTTTCTTGTTTTTAAAAAATTTCTTATAACTTTTGTTTCTTTTGTTTTAAAATGGATTTTGTACATTTATATCTGCTGACCTAAACAACTAATTTGAATATAACATCATGAACTACAGGAACCATTATTGAATTCCTATTACTTTGTTTAGTGAAATTTTGTATAGTTTCTAATGCTTTTTTAAAAAAATTGCTATTTTGTATTCTTAAAAAAGAAACAAAGAGAATTGCTTTCTGGAAAGCGGTATTGATTTGTACCCCCACCAGTATTGTTTGAGAATGCTGGTAGGCTGACATTCTCCACAGGACTGGACTTCAATCTTTTTTGTCAAGTCACTGAATGAGGAATGGTGTCCCATTAATGTTTTCATTTTCATTGACCTCAATACTAGGGAGACTAAACATTTTTTCATGTACTTATTGGTCATTTGTCTTGTTTCATGAGTTTTCTATTCACATACTCTGTTCAATTTTCTACTGCCTATTCCTTTTATTTCTAATTTATAAGAGGTCTTTAAATATTAAGGAAATTAACCCTTTGTCTGGCAAACACAGTGCAATTATTTTTCTCATTTGTCTTTTGGCTTCCAATTTTCTTCATAGTGTTTCTTGACACAGTGATATATTACATTTTGTATAGTTAGATCTATCAAGTTATCAAAGATGCTTTTTCTTTCTTTGGTTGCTTAAAACGCAAGCTTATATAAATCTATTTACCTATCTATATAACATTGAACAGTTAAGTAGTTTTATTTCTTACACTTAAAAACCTTTAATATATCTGGAATTTATTTTGGCATTGGGATGGTACAAGTAGTACTCTATTTTTCTTTTTGATTACTTAAATAATTTGAACAAGTCTTATTAAATATAGTCATTTCCTATTGATTTAAAAATGCCATCTTTTTCATGTGTTAAATAGTGATGCTAAGGTTTTTTTATTGTGCTGATTGACCTGTCTAATCTTGTAGTTAGGTGGTTGAAATTGTATATAATGTTCTACTTTTTGAGAGTTTCTCCTGTCTCCTGGGTAATTCTTCCATTTAATATTTTCTTTTTCCAAAACTTCTTTTGGCTTTTCTCAGCTTTTTGTCTAGCATTTGAACTTTAGAATTGTTTTTATAATTTTATTATTTGCTTCAAATTTGTAATTGATTTGGTATAATTTATGTTTTTATGCCCTCAGGAGCATCCCACAACTTTCTGTTCGACAGTAGGAAGGGGTGTTGTTCTGCAGCCTCTGTGAAGTTTTGATATTTTTCTTTTTTGCCATGCAAAATTTCCTGTATAATTATCATTATTAAAGTAAAATATCCCTCAAAATTTCACAACAAGATAATAGAAGGGTAACAAAGCTTAATACATTGCATATTGTTATCTTTAAATTAGTCACTGAGTATAAGATATCAGCATTTAATTGTCCAAACAATATTAGCATCTTTCTTTTCAAAGGACTAAGACAAATTTGTAGTATAACAATCTTAACTATTGTATATATGTTTCTTTCCTTTCCTTTCCTTTCCTTTCTTTTCTCCATTTCCCCATCCCAGTTTCTCTTTTCTTTGATTTTTTTCCCCATTTTACAATATCTATTGTACACTTTGGATGTTATTTACTCTTTCAGCTTCTCACACTAAGGAGATAATGTGATGTTTACACATGCAGGTCTGATTTATTTCACTTATGAGTATGGTCTCTAGGTGCATCCATTTACCTATTAAAGTCTCTAGTTTACTCTTCTTTATGTCTGAGTAGTACTCCATTTTACAAAAGAGTCACATATTTTCTTTTTTAAAGAAAGCACAAAGTAGTATTAAAACAGAAAAATTGCAAATGATACAGAATTTCATGAAACAAAAATAATTTTATTTATTTATTTAAAAAGATACAGACTTTTTTTTTTTTTTTTTTCCAGAACAGGGGATTGAACTCAGGCCCGTGTGCTTGCCAGGCAAGCGCTTATTCCACTGAGCCATCTCCCCAGCCCTATTTATTTATTTTTGAGGTAGGGTCTTTTTTTTTTTTCTTTGCAGTACCATGGATTGATCTTGGGGCCTTGTGCTTGCCAGGCAGGAGCTTGTACCACTGAACTATCTCCCTGACTGATCACATCTTTTTCATTCATTCCTCAGTTGATATGCATTTGAGTTGTTTCTCAGATCTAGCTATTACAAAGTGTACTGCTATAAACATGGGTACACATATATCACAGTAGTATGATGTTTGTAATTCTCCTGGGAAGATACTTAGAAGAGGAATAGCTGGGTCAAATGGGACCATAGGAGATAGTTCAGTGGTACAAGCTCCTGTCTGGCAAGCATAAGGTCCCAAGGTCAATCCCTGGTACTGCAAAGAAAAAACAACAACAACAACAACAACAAAAAACCTCTTCAAAAATAAATAAATAAATAAATAAATAAATAAATAATTTTCATCGTTATTTAAATGGATTTTTGATGTTAGCTTTTTTATTTAAAAAAGATTTAAAAATCAATAAAAATGATACAAGAGGTATAATATTTCAAGTGCATCCCCCAGAAGTCATAGGATTGGAGCCATGTCTTTAGTAAAAAATAATAAATAAATAATTTTCATTGTTATTTAAATGGATTTTTGATGTTAGCTTTTTTATTTAAAAAAGATTTAAAAATCAATAAAAATGATACAAGAGGTATAGCCATCTTGAACTGCATATTGAGACGCTGTCTCAAAAAGACAGAATCAAAACAAGATGATAGAAAATTAACACTGCTTAATATATTGCATATTATTTTCTTCACAGTAGTTTCTCAGATTATAAAATATAGGCATGCAAACTTCATAAAAAATATAATCCCTAACTGTCCTTTCAGTGAAATTACTAGTACAGATATCTTAGGTGATAT